ATTTTTGGTTTAATAATATAACATTTTATAAAAATAATAATTAAGTATTCTGTTAGAACTCAATGATTATCCTAATTATATTTTAGATTTTTTATATCTAAAATGAGATGTTTATTCTGTATTTTGATTATGTATATCTGCAGTTAGTTACACGAATTCAGATATGGAGCTTTAATAAGTTGTACTTACGCACAATCCACTTGTAATCTTGAGTTTTAAATAACATGCATTAATAAACAGTACTTTATGCATAAAAAATGGTTTTTAAGAGTTTTTGTTAAATGTTTTATAATATAGTATAGATACATAAAATACACGGCAATCTCCCCTTACCAACAAATATGACCCCTCCAACTACCGTCTTCTACAACGACACCACTGTTAGGGATGAAACACCCCCTCCCATCCTCTCCCTGTTGCAATACTATCAAACCCACCGACCTACAACGTCATCACTCCGCCCCGGAAGGCAACAAAACCCAACCAAAACCAAAACCCCAATCAAACGCAAGCCACACATGTCTTCTTCCGCAATCGTTTGAACTAAATTGATTTACACCAAATGGGGGAGGGTAACCAAAGGACATTTGATCTAGCGGTATCGTAGTTTTTGGTTCAAACTTCACCAAAGATGAGAAGGGTGTGAATTTATTTGTTATATTTACCATATATATATATAAATATTATATATTTAAAAAAAATAAAAATGGGAGAAAGTATGGGGGAGTGGCAGGGAAATTGTATGGGGGAGTGGCAGGGAAATTGGGTGGGGAGAGCTTTCTCATAGTCTAATGTTGCATTACTAAATAAACATGTGTGTATGCGTGTACGTGTATATATATACTAAATGTATAATAATAATAGTAATATATTTATTCAATTCAAAATAAAGAAATACAAAAAAGACTAAAATACCCCCAAATAAACAAACCGTTTTAACATATCCAACAAGGGTTCAAATACAGAGTGAGGGGCTCAAATCCAAAGCCTGACACGCGATTAAAACACTTTATGTATGACAACTCGATCGTGATAGAAATAAAAGTTTACATCAAAGCGAACAAATGAACCAAGTAGATACAACAAAATAAGTTCAATAGGACGCCAAATATGTGTAAATGTCTTAATAAACTGTTTTATAAGAATCGAGTTTATTGAACTAAACAATTGTGTTTCTAGGTAAGGTATTATAGTAAGGTGATATGACGTTTTTGGATATATTAACAAGTTTTTAGGTCATTTTTTAAATAAACCGTTTTATGACATTATTTATGTTTCGGTTTTGATGTATTTTAATAGTTATTATATTGTTGATGTGGTCAAATAGTTGATTCATTGGATTTGGATTAAAGTTAGAAGCATTGAATGAAATATTTGAAGCATTTTCAAAGAAAGATTTAGGGGTCATTTATCAAATGCTTACTTGGGTAAGTGAACATCAAGTTACATTACATTATCGGATGAATATGGTAAGGACCAATAATCTTACCTGGTAAGAGCGAAATATAGACCAAGAGTCTTATCCGGTAAGTAAATGATAGTGTTAAATTTCATCAGTAAACACTTACCGGATAAGTATTTGGTAAACAACCCCTTTGCTTTTTTTGGAAAGAACTTTTCTTATAGTTGATAAGAGTTGAAACCTTCACCATATTGTATTTCTTTTTATGTAAAGATTACCACATCAATATACATTCTAGAACTTATATATTTTGGTATTTTTTTTAAAAATTTTATTTTTACTTTCTTCCAGAAAAAGTTAAGACGGAAAAATTAATGAAAGACGGACACATTCCGTTACAGTAGAGTTGGGTTTATAAGACATCATCAATTTCTAAGTATCTTAATAGACTATTTTATAAGACTTAATTTATAGGACAAAGTCAATAAAATGTCTTATTTAAAGACGTTGTAATAAGTTTGTAGAACGTTTTCGGACGTTTTAACAAATTTTTAGGATACTAAGTTAAATTATAATAAAAAAAAATTGAATCAAATAAATTACCCAAAAAATAAAAACTTTTAGTAGTTAATTTGATACTAATATCGATATATTTATTTTCAAAACTTTATGATATCTCCAAATTTATATTTTATTCAAAAATAAAAATATTATGTCTTTCTCAAAACCATATAAACCACATTATAGTATCTACAGAGACAAAATAAAATAAAACATTAAAATCAAAATATAACTCGTATTGTGCGAGTATCATTCTAGTAGTTAAAAAGATATATAATCATAACCACCTTTTAACAAAAATAAAAGTATCACTCACCGTTTTTAAATCGAAAATCGGTGAAATACAACAAACAAGCAAAATAAATTGTAAAAAACCCGATCATTTTATTATCTATAATTCGACATTAATTTTAATATATATTTTTTATCTGTTTTTTTTATGTTTCTTCAGTTTTGTTCCTTAAAATTCTCCCTTTTGACCATTTTTTCCATCATGTTGATGTGGTCAAATAATTAATTTATTAGATTTTGGATCAAAAAGAAAGCATTGAATTAGTGTTAAAGCTTTTTATTATTATGAGCATTTTAAATTTCAAGAAAATATGTATCTTTCTTTTGAAAAGATCTTTTCTCATGGTAGATGAAGTTAATGAGCTGTTTGACAGTTGTTGAATGGTTTGATGCAGAATGATTAAATAGTCAGAATGATTAAGAAACTCTCATGATATAGTGCAAAATGAAAATAGTATTGTTTGGTAATTGTTTACAATGAAATTAGGGTGCTTAATGGTTAAGGGAGACTCGGGATACAAAATCAGAGGTTTTTAGAACCATTAAGAAGCAGACTTTATTTTACCAAACAAGATTCATCTTTTAATGATTCAGAGACTGCTTCTTAATTGAACTATTATGAGATAAACAAACAATCCCTAAGAGTCTTTAACATATTTTATGGCCATTTTCATGTCAAATTATCATTCCTAACATGTATTCTTGAATTTAGAACTAATTTTTTTTAGTGGAAAAAGATAATAAAAATGAAAACCTAATGAAAGATAATTGCACTTTAGTGCTTATTTTAATATTTTAGAAAGAATTTTGAAATAAAACTTGAAAAAATCATTTAAACGGCTAGAATTAATGTTGTACTCGTCTGTTGGTCGGGTATATGAGAATTAACAAATGAAATAAAAAGATATGTTAATCTGGTGATGCTAGTCATGGGCATGGACGGACCTACTATAACTGTATTATTCCTCCGTCGAAGAGTAAAAAATTTAGGTTCGTGAAAGGTGAAACCGTATTACTTTGTTGCATATCATCGTATGTATTTTGAAACTACAATGAGAACAAGTTTTATTTGGTAGAGTTGGTTTGCAAGACTTTTATTCCATCCCAAACCCAAGTTCGAATCTTGTTAGTGTCATTTTCTTAGTCAAATGGTGCCACCATTTGAAAAAAATGTTCTGTATATTTGTTTATTATAGTCAAACGGTGCTACCGTTTGAATTTTTTTTCTTATACATAGTCAAATAGTGTCACCGTTTGAAAAAAAAAATTATGGGTCCGTCCTTAGTCATGGGTGGTTGTGAACATGAATGATATCTTGCAATTTTTGGCATTGCGAGGTCACATATCTTCTTTTGAGAATCATATATTACCAAACGAGAACAATATCAACACATATAGGCAAAATTAAGGTTTTTTGACTGAGGATGACGATAATAAAGACCAAGATGACTTCAGTTTACCATGTAGAAAAGTAACTCACTCTATATAAAATACTGAATACACTTGTACACAAGGCTTAGAAACTTGTATACACTATTTCAGTAAACATGTTAAATGACTGAATTGCCACTAAATTAATGACCCATCTCGATTAGTGTCTTAGGACAACGTTCTTGTGCAGTTGAAAAGCTTTTACAAGGATGTCTTCAACGATATTTGGGTTAGAACCAAACACTGCATTTGCAATGGTGATGGCACCCGGATTTTGGCTACTCAAATATTGCAATGGCAAGGGCATAACCATTTCCGAAGGTCCTTTGGAAGTGAATTAGGCCTTGTGGGAAAACGGAATCATCATCCTTTTAAAGTCCTTTGGTGATGAGAGGGTTTTCAGGGTTAGATGTGACAAAACCGACTTCAGTATTGCCTTCTATGACTGTCAAGATTTCAGTGGCCCTAGGGTGCATGTGTGGAGYAYTAATACCCCATGGAGYAAAGTCAAATRGGCCATTAAAATTCCGAAAGTATCTGAGTCCTTGTAACTCTGCTACAGTCACAACGGTCACGTTAGACCCAACTGTATTTGATGTATCTCCCATAAGGTGAAGTCCACTAAAAAAGAAATCATCTGCTTGCACAAGCTTTAGATCTTTGCATAATTCACCATTGACGAATACTGTGAAAACAAACTTTCATATCTTTAGCGTTGGCCCATTTTGAACATTTCTAGATTATTTTTTCACCTCGTCTATTTGGTGCAGCAACACAAAAATCCCGAAGAGGAATTGGATCTGATGCCATAACAAGCGAACAACTCGTCAAACAAGATGCCATCGTTACTTGTTCGTTGTTGAACTTTGATAGCTCGAGAAAGATATGAGATGAAGTATGCAACTTGGTGATGTTTTTATAGCAAAAACAATGGAACATAAAAAACTAGTTCAGGTGATATGACATCTTCAATTATACTGTAAATGACGATTAATATAATTTATATTTCTTTTATTCACTGTTAAATATCACAACACATCGACAAACRTACAAATATCACGAAATTAAATGTTATAAGTTTAATAAAGCTGACATTTAAAGAACGCGTCAAGGTCTAGAATTTTGATTGAATTTGGCGAACGACCTTCTTGTCCACTTGGAAAGCCTTTGCAAGAATATCTTCATCGATATCTGGGTCAGAACCGAACACTGCATTCGCAATGGTAATTGCACCTGGATTTTGGCTACTCAGAGCTGCAATAACAAGAGCATTATCATTTCCGGCATTCCTTTGGAAATGAACTAGACCTTGTGGGAAAACGAAAACATCACCCTTTCGAAGTTTTTTAGTGATGAGACGGTTTTCAGTGTTAGATGTGACAAACCCGACTTCAATATTGCCTTCTAGAACAGTCAAGATTTCAGTGGCTCGAGGGTGCGTGTGTGGAGGGTTAATACCCCATGGAGCAAAGTCAATACGAGCCATWGAAATACCAAAAGTGTTGAGTCCTGGTAACTCTGCTACAGTCACGASAGTCACGTTAGAYCCAACCGCGTTYGATGTATCTCCCATACGGTGGAGCCCACTAAAAAAGAAATCATTTGCTCGCACACGCTTTGGATCTTTGCATACCTCGCCATTCACGAATACTGCGATAACAAAAACAAAAATCTCATAAGCACATACAAACACTACAAATCTTCAAAATCATTAACGTTGGATCATTTTCAACGTCCCAAAATSATTTCTTACCACGGCTTTTTGGTTCAGCAACACAAAAGTCCTGCAGAGGGCTCGGATCTGAAGCCATGGCAAGCGAACAACTCACGACGAGAAGGCCAAATAAAAACAAACGAGATGTCATCGTTGAGAAAGTTGGAAACTTGAGTTTTTTGATGAACTTYGGAATGGTGAGAAACRTATGACATGAAGTATGCAACTTGGTGATGTTTTTATAGCGAAAACAATGGAACATAAAATAMCATGACTTATTTTCATCGATAAGAAAACATAAGAAAAGCGTACCACAATGACAAAGTCATCAAATATGTCAACATCGGTTACATTCAACTRATTACGTTGTTCAATTCAATAAAGACGGATGACTAATGCACGTATGATYGGTTCAATTCAATTCATTTATAATYGTTTCCGTAGGTACAAACTTATTTACATCAAATCCTTCAGATAATTGGGTTTATAGGACGTCAAAATGTTTTTGTGTCCTAATAAATAGCTTTATAGACTTAATTTACAGAAACAAACAATAAAACATCATATTTATAGTGTTGATAATAAATATATCACTACTAAATTAAAGACTTTTGTCTACGGACTTTTTCCTGGGAAATCCGTYGCTAAAGGGTGATTCGTCACAAAACTGTGTAAAAGTTGGTTGGTAATTCAAATCAGTGATGGATTACCTAGATATTCTCTCTGGGTGATCTATTGGTATTTTCACGAAAAACATCAGATTCTACTGAACCGTTGGTATTTTCTGTTACGAACGGAAATTTCCGTGAATGATTTTTGTGGGTGAAAATCAGTCGTCTTGTGTTCATCCTTTATGTTGATGATATGATTAAATAGTGGATTTATTAGATTTTGGATTAAAAGCATTTTTAGATGACTAGAAGGATACTCGTGCAATGCATCGAGACACATTTCGATTTCAATGTTTCGTTGTGGTTTTATTCAGATATTTTTTAGAAGTGAAAGGAAATGAAAAAGAAGAAAAAATAAAGATAATTAATTTTACTTACAAATGTGAGAGGAAAAAGAATGAAATAAATAATAACAGTTAAAAATATTTATAAAATTACACATATATCCATCAATGGCAGTCTGTAAATTAAAAAAAGTGTATTCGTAAAAGTAACATCTTCCCTTCCTTTTGTCTCTTCTTCAAGATCTTGGAAATTTATTTTTCTTTCATTCTCTTTCAAGAATACAAATATATTTCCATGGTCTCTTGCGCAGTGGCGGATCGACCCAGGAGTTTTGTTGAGCGGTGCACCTTTAAGGTGGATTAAAGGCTCGCAAGTTGTTTGATGTGTTTTTAGACAAATGACACCGTTTCGAAGGACTTTTTTAAGTTTTTTTTGAAAGATTTTGAGAGATTTTTTTAAGTTTTTTGGTTTATTTCGATGAACTTTTTTGGGTTTTTGTGGTTGAGTTTTAAGGGATTTTTTGGCTGATGTTCCTATTATTTTCACTAATATCTAGAGCATCGCTCAAAATTTAGCGTGTGCACCTTTCATATCCAAAAAGTTTTTAATTTACTTGCGAAAATCAGTTGAGCGGGTGCATTTTTCATACCCAAATTCTTTTTACACTACAACAAAATCGGGTTCATAGGA